GCAGCCTAGGGAAGGCTGACAGGCGCCCCACGGATTTGTCCCCTGGAGGTGACACAATGCAAATGCCCAGCTCTGCCTGCGTCTGCTCCCTAGGATGGAGCCTCTCCCCACCCTTTATGGGTTAACTGGGTGTACGGTAACATTCTTAATATAGTCCTAGTGTGTGACTAAGTTCTGTGATGGTATCACTTGTATAGATATGTGAACTGAGTGGCAACAGGTTTGTTACAGAGGTAGATTCCTGGGTGAGTTGTGGTGTGTGGCTGCTAGCAAGTATTTACTTCAGGTTGGGTGGTTTTCTGTGGGCAAGGATTGGCCTGTCTCCCACTGTCCGAGAGTGAGGGATCATTTTCCAGGATAGGTTGTATATGGGCAATGATGTGCTGGTCTTTAAAGAGCTCTAAGTCTATGTATGGTTGTAAGACAAAGGACCACATCCAGGTACAGTTTTTATCCCCTTCTGTGCCTCTCGACTCCAGCGTGTCAGGCCAGGGCCGGTCCCTCAATTCCTAGGAAAGACGAAAATACGAGGTGGGCGTCCCCATAGACCAATCACCTAACCCGACCAGCAGATAGATGGTAGATTGATGCTCAGAGTAAGTGTGCTGCTGGGCCCATCTTTATACCCACAGGGGCCCGTATCCTCTTTCTTATCTAAGATGCCAAATTGTGTTGGTCCATCTTTGTGATGCCAGTTCTTACAAGGGAGTTTCAAATTAATTTACACTTGCAAGAGAGATAACTAAATTGTGAGTACTGGACATTCTTTACTGGGCAGGAGATTCCTCCCCCCGTGGACGAGTGTGTGTTCGTATCAATATAGGTGCCAGCCAAGGCAGTTCTCGCAGCCTCGAGGTCAACAATTGGCGTATCTCTGTTTACAGCCATCCAGGGTCACTGTGAGCTAGCATATCTGGGCCTCCTGTCAAGGCTTCAAAGACTATGCTGATTTTATTGCTCTGTGTGTGCCCTCTATGCTCCAGGCAAGCAAGATGGTTGTTATAGGTGGGGGTTCCTGTCTGGCTACAGTGGTCAGCGCATGTGCAGCGTGGTCTGTGCATGAGCATCATGCCGAACCGCGCGGCTGGCGAGTGGGACTCGCTGCCGCTTGGCGAGCCCTGGCCATAGGTATGGAGCATATCTGGGCCTCCTGTCAAGGCTTCAAAGACTATGCTGATTTTATTGCTCTGTGTGTGCCCTCTATGCTCCAGGCAAGCAAGATGGTTGTTATAGGTGGGGGTTCCTGTCTGGCTACAGTGGTCAGCGCATGTGCAGCGTGGTCTGTGCATGAGCATCATGCCGAACCGCGCGGCTGGCGAGTGGGACTCGCTGCCGCTTGGCGAGCCCTGGCCATAGGTATGGTAAATGGTGTTTAATCAGCTAATTGACTAATTGTTGGAATTTCCATCGACTAGTCAATTAGTTGATGATGGGGTGCTGCAGATCTGCAGCTGTGGCTCTGCCTTATAAATGTATTAAGAGCTGCCAGGCTCTTAATTCATTTAAATAGCTGCAGTGCAGCAGGGGACGCACCAGGTGCAAGCTGGGAAATAGCTGTCCCAGCTCGCACTTGGTCCCCTCTGCTGCGCTTGTGCTTTTAAAATTTATTAAGAGATGCCAGGCTTTTAATACATTTAAAAGGTTAAAGTGCAGTGCTATTTCTCTCCCTCCTCTCCCCCTCTCCGCAGAGATGGTGCTAAGGGCGGGAATTGGCTTTTAAGCCAGCTCCTGCCAGTGCCGGCTGCTGCTTCCCCCTGCCCCTTGCTGCCTCTGTCTGATAGTGTCCAGACAATCTTCTGTGCCGAAGAAAAATAAATCTTGCACTCTTTTTGTCAGTGCTCTTTTTGATATTTGAGAAGACAAAATATGTTCAGGAATTGTATAGTGCCCTGGTTCTTTTTATTTTGCCTGTCTGTTTAAATTATAAAGTTTTTTTTAATTGTATGTGTATTTGCAAAATACAGATTGCTGCCTGGAATATTTTACTCATCAAGGTATTTTACTATGTTAAAGGGATGCAGAAAGTAATGGTAAACTGAAAGGGCTATATATTAAAAAACAAACAAACAAAAAAAACCTTAGATCCTTTATAAACTATCTCCTCTAGGGATGGAGATTCCACCACCTCTCCAGGTAACCCATTTCAGTGCTTTGCCACTCTCTTAGTGAAATAGTTTTTCATGATCTCCAACCTAGATCTTCCACACTGCAACTTGAGACCTCTAATCCTCGTTGTCATCTGTGACCACTGAAAACAGTCTTTCTCCATCCTCTTTGGAACCCCCCTTCAGGTAGTTGAAGGCTGCTATCAAATCCCCCCTCACTCTACTCTTCTGTAGACTAAATGAGCTGAGATTCCTCAGCCTCTCCTCATAAGTCATGTGCTCCAGCCCTCTAATCATTTTTGTTGCCCTCTGTTGGACTTTCTCCAATTTGTTCACATTGTTTCTGAAAGGGGCCCCCCAGAATGGGATGCAATACACCAGATGTGGCCTCATCCATGTTGAATAAAGGGGAATAATCACTTCCCTAGATCTGCTGGCAATGCTCCTCCTGATGCACCTCAATATACCAATAGCCTTCTTGGCTACAAGGGCATACTGTTGACTCAGAGCCAGCTTCTCATTGGGGGGGGCGGGAGGGGAAGGTGCTCGCAATTCCCTCTGCACCTCTGCCTTTTAAATGTAGTGAGAGCCGCCCTCAGCTTATTTTGTTATGCTTCTTTTGTTCTTTTGACCAGAAGGTCAACAGCCAACATTCACTCACAGGTTTGATGACATTAGTCATGGTTTCCCACATAATAGGGCGGACTGCATAAAGGTTGTCCTCTTCAACCCCTCTGCCACGTTGTAGATAGGGAGCTGAATCTGACCATGTGAATCATCATGGGGATCTTAAAATCAACAACTTTATTGTGGCTTTTTGTATTAGCAGATATCTAACATACAGCTATCAGCTGAAATATAGTGGGAGCATGAAAACTTAAAAACACTGAAGACTACCCAGAACTTCTCATCTGTCTACATCATCAACTGCACTTGAAATCACAAAAGCCACTATGGCCTAAAAGTGTCTGTCTCATGCTTCTGGATCTGGCCAGGGAATGGCAAAATGTGTGGATCTCATCTGCCATTCCCAATCACCTAACCCGACCAGCAGATAGATGGTAGATTGATGCTCAGAGTAAGTGTGCTGCTGGGCCCATCTTTATACCCACAGGGGCCCGTATCCTCTTTCTTATCTAAGATGCCAAATTGTGTTGGTCCATCTTTGTGATGCCAGTTCTTACAAGGGAGTTTCAAATTAATTTACACTTGCAAGAGAGATAACTAAGTTGTGAGTACTGGACATTCTTTACTGGGCAGGAGATTCCTCCCCCCGTGGACGAGTGTGTGTTCGTATCAATATAGGTGCCAGCCAAGGCAGTTCTCGCAGCCTCGAGGTCAACAATTGGCGTATCTCTGTTTACAGCCATCCAGGGTCACTGTGAGCTAGCATATCTGGGCCTCCTGTCAAGGCTTCAAAGACTATGCTGATTTTATTGCTCTGTGTGTGCCCTCTATGCTCCAGGCAAGCAAGATGGTTGTTATAGGTGGGGGTTCCTGTCTGGCTACAGTGGTCAGCGCATGTGCAGCGTGGTCTGTGCATGAGCATCATGCCGAACCGCGCGGCTGGCGAGTGGGACTCGCTGCCGCTTGGCGAGCCCTGGCCATAGGTATGGTAAATGGTGTTTAATCAGCTAATTGACTAATTGTTGGAATTTCCATCGACTAGTCAATTAGTTGATGATGGGGTGCTGCAGATCTGCAGCTGTGGCTCTGCCTTATAAATGTATTAAGAGCTGCCAGGCTCTTAATTCATTTAAATAGCTGCAGTGCAGCAGGGGACGCACCAGGTGCAAGCTGGGAAATAGCTGTCCCAGCTCGCACTTGGTCCCCTCTGCTGCGCTTGTGCTTTTAAAATTTATTAAGAGATGCCAGGCTTTTAATACATTTAAAAGGTTAAAGTGCAGTGCTATTTCTCTCCCTCCTCTCCCCCTCTCCGCAGAGATGGTGCTAAGGGCGGGAATTGGCTTTTAAGCCAGCTCCTGCCAGTGCCGGCTGCTGCTTCCCCCTGCCCCTTGCTGCCTCTGTCTGATAGTGTCCAGACAATCTTCTGTGCCGAAGAAAAATAAATCTTGCACTCTTTTTGTCAGTGCTCTTTTTGATATTTGAGAAGACAAAATATGTTCAGGAATTGTATAGTGCCCTGGTTCTTTTTATTTTGCCTGTCTGTTTAAATTATAAAGTTTTTTTTAATTGTATGTGTATTTGCAAAATACAGATTGCTGCCTGGAATATTTTACTCATCAAGGTATTTTACTATGTTAAAGGGATGCAGAAAGTAATGGTAAACTGAAAGGGCTATATATTAAAAAACAAACAAACAAAAAAAACCTTAGATCCTTTATAAACTATCTCCTCTAGGGATGGAGATTCCACCACCTCTCCAGGTAACCCATTTCAGTGCTTTGCCACTCTCTTAGTGAAATAGTTTTTCATGATCTCCAACCTAGATCTTCCACACTGCAACTTGAGACCTCTAATCCTCGTTGTCATCTGTGACCACTGAAAACAGTCTTTCTCCATCCTCTTTGGAACCCCCCTTCAGGTAGTTGAAGGCTGCTATCAAATCCCCCCTCACTCTACTCTTCTGTAGACTAAATGAGCTGAGATTCCTCAGCCTCTCCTCATAAGTCATGTGCTCCAGCCCTCTAATCATTTTTGTTGCCCTCTGTTGGACTTTCTCCAATTTGTTCACATTGTTTCTGAAAGGGGCCCCCCAGAATGGGATGCAATACACCAGATGTGGCCTCATCCATGTTGAATAAAGGGGAATAATCACTTCCCTAGATCTGCTGGCAATGCTCCTCCTGATGCACCTCAATATACCAATAGCCTTCTTGGCTACAAGGGCATACTGTTGACTCAGAGCCAGCTTCTCATTGGGGGGGGCGGGAGGGGAAGGTGCTCGCAATTCCCTCTGCACCTCTGCCTTTTAAATGTAGTGAGAGCCGCCCTCAGCTTATTTTGTTATGCTTCTTTTGTTCTTTTGACCAGAAGGTCAACAGCCAACATTCACTCACAGGTTTGATGACATTAGTCATGGTTTCCCACATAATAGGGCGGACTGCATAAAGGTTGTCCTCTTCAACCCCTCTGCCACGTTGTAGATAGGGAGCTGAATCTGACCATGTGAATCATCATGGGGATCTTAAAATCAACAACTTTATTGTGGCTTTTTGTATTAGCAGATATCTAACATACAGCTATCAGCTGAAATATAGTGGGAGCATGAAAACTTAAAAACACTGAAGACTACCCAGAACTTCTCATCTGTCTACATCATCAACTGCACTTGAAATCACAAAAGCCACTATGGCCTAAAAGTGTCTGTCTCATGCTTCTGGATCTGGCCAGGGAATGGCAAAATGTGTGGATCTCATCTGCCATTCCAAACAAACACTTTATTAAACACCCAACTAGATGTCGTTTTGGTTTCAATCTACCACATAGACTTTGAACTGCTTTGAACCACATCTGAACAAACTGTGAAAGATATGTCTACTTGAACCACAACTGGAAAATCAGTCGGGTATGTTCATGCACATGTGCACTGTAGCCAGAAGATTTTTCCCTTAGCAGCATCCATCAGGTCAGTCTGGGTGCCCCTGCAATTACACCTTTGTGATGCCCAATATACAGCCCTGCCAACCTGCCACCCTCTCAGTTCCTTCTTACCACTAGTGACAGTTAGCTGGGACTTCCCTGTGCTCTTGTCTTGACAAGTGCATTTAGCACCCTATTTAAATAGTTCTCCATTAGTTTTCCATTATTCATTAATAGTTAGTAGATTGTTAGTGTTAGACTTTCAACAATGGGACATGTGGGGGTCTTTGGACTTCAAGACTAAGTCCAGGAGCAACCCTCACACTTTGTGTCTAAAGTGCTTATGCGAGGACCATCAGAAGGATCATTGTGCTTATCTGTAAGACCTTTCGGCCCAGGATCTTAAAAGATAGAGAGCACAGCCTGAAGATCCTGTTAGTGGAGGCAGCAATCAGCCTTAAACATCTGGGGCTCATGGCTGACTGCACCTATGTGATGTAGCATGCCAGACTCAGAATCCAACCACTCTCTCATGATTAGCTTTGGTGTATCAACTAGCCCAAGACAGCTTGGCCAGGATGGTGATTCTGCGTCATCAAGTTCTCGACTCCCTCCTGTGGTGGCTCAACCTTCAGGAGGCATGTCTCTGTTGCTAGTGACAGATGCATCAGACATGGGGCACATCTGAGAGATTGCAGGACTTATGATTTCCAGTAGACCTTGTTCTCCACATCAGTGTCAGTGCTAAGAGTGGTGTGCCTAGCATTCCAGGCTTACTTGATGGGACATTGTGCATCAGTCATGACAGACAAATACGGGGCATACACTCCTCTACTCTGTGCCAAGAAGCCCTCATGCTTCACATCTCTCCACCTCTTGGCATGGATGCGCTGTGGCTGAACCCAGAAGAACACACATGCTCAGAGAAAGTCCAAAAGGTTTTCCTAGGTAGTAGAAGGCTCTCAACCAGGATGTCTGGCTTAGCCAAGTGGAGGAGGTTTTCCCGCTATTGTAACATGGCAATTCTGCAATTATCCCTCATATTCTTCTCTTTAGTCTATCTTAGATTGCTTACTGCAACTACGGAATCGGGCTAGCACACTTTTCCATCTTGTGCATCTTGAGGCCATTTCCACTTTTCACCCAGTAATCCAGGGCCACATGGTGTTCGCTCATGACATAACAATGAGGTTTTTGAGAGGGCTCAATAGGATCTTCCCCATATGTGCAAACCTTTGTTCCTCAGTGGTATCTTATGTTGGTCTTCTCTAGGCTCACCAGCTTGCACTTCGACTAACTGGTCTCTTGCTCCCTTTTGCTCCTGGAAGGTTACCTTCTTCATGACAGTGATGTTAGACAATTCTCAGAGATTAACTCCTTGACCTCAGAGCCACCATCAAGATTATCCAGCAATAGAAATAGGGGGGTAATATTATCTCCGAGCAGGGTATCACCATTATTAGAGTGTGTGAGGTTTGCACTTCAAAAAGAATGGAGACTATTTTGGAAGTGCTCTACCCGGTCTTTTTTACTGAGAGTGGTGTTTTCCTTTCATGTGAACCAGGAGCTATTCCTCCTGGTTTTTTTGTCCCAAACCACACAAAACTAGTGAAGAGAGACATCTTCACACACTGGATGTCTGGATGGCTCTGGCTTTTTACCTGGACAGAACCAAGCCTTTTTCATAAATTATCTCAGCTCTTCATTGCTATAGTTGATGGCATGAAAGGCCTTCTGATTTCTTCAGAGGATTTCTAGCTGGATCGTCTCTTGCATAAAGTTCTGTTATGAGCTTGTAGAGATTCCACCCAGGGATGTGAATGGGTTAACCAGGGGGAGCAACCCACTGCCGGTGGCCCATAGTGGGTGGAGGGCTGCTTAAGCCCCACAGGGCTCGGGAGCTGAACTCCTACATGCAGGGGGAGCCAGCAGAGGCAGCTGGTAGCTCCAAGCGGGATCTCACTTAATCAGTTAACCCTAAGGTTTAACCAGATAACTGATTAACTAGGATTTTACATCCTTAGTTCCACCACTGCCAATTGTCAGCCCATTTGACTTGAGCACAGGAGTCCTCAGTGACCTTCCTGGACATCTCTAGTGCCACAATGTGGTCTTTTATTCACATATTCACAGTGCGCTTTGTGATCACTCAGCAGGCCAGGGATGAAGCTGGGTTCAGCTGAGCTATCTTAAAATCTAAGTGTCCATGAACTCCTACCTGCTTCCATTGGTGCTTGTGACGGGGCAGTATTGCCCCGCACCACGACTCCCGCCGAGCAGGCGTTGCTCGGCATCCGGCCAGAAGCCGCCCAGCACTGCACGGCATGCTCCTGGGCCGCGCCGGGTCTGGCGGGGCCGGCTGATCCACCGGCGAGGAGCCCGCAGCGCAGCGGCAGGAGCCGGGACAGCGTGGAGGGGTTCGCCGCCCAGGCAGACCCGTGTGCTAGGAAAACAGCGGCGGAGATGGATAGCCCCTCCCCTGCCTAAGCGGATGATGTCAGGTAGGGCGTAAGCGGCGGGACGCTTAAAAACGCCGCCACCATGCCAAAGAAGGGGTCAGGCCGCGAGTGAGGGGAGGGGGGCAGAGGACTCGGTGAGGGTCCTAACTGGCCCGCGGGGCCGATCTGCAGACGGCGGAGTGAAGCAACTCCGCCAGCCTGTCGGCCAAAGGCAAGGTGAGCCCCTGGTGAGACTGGTGAAGCCAGGGACGGGGAAAGGAAGCAGCCCAGGGCAGAGCCGTTTTTAGGCTGGTGGGCTGACGCGTTATGGCGGGATGCCCCGTCAGCTGGACCGGAGCTAGACGGTTCCGCGTCCTTAGGGCCCTGGGCTGGGGCCCGCGGATAGCGGGAGAAACCAAGGTTGAAAAACCCCACAACAATCTGCAACAAGCACACAAGGGTGACACTTAAGGCTGCCCGCCCCTGTAACAGGGGCCGGGCCGAGGGTACAGTTGGGTGAGACTGGTACAGTACTGCTTGGAGCCATCTACTATGGAATGGACACAAACAAGCACTAGGGATGTAAGCGACGACTAGTTGACTGTTCGATAAGCAAAAGCTTATCGGATAATTGACACATTAGTCGACTAGTGGCTTCCCCAAACAGAGGCAGCCGGGGGGTGGGGGGGGGAGGTAGGGAGAGGCGAGGGAGAGGAGGAGGTGCTGGATCCCTCCAGCTCTGGGGGATGGAGTAATCACATCAGTGGCAATTCAAAGTCGGGCAAGATTGCATTTATCAAGGGCAGATAAATGGATGTTGTTGTAATGGTAAGAGCCTGGATATGAGTTTTAGTTATATGAAAGGGTAGGAAGGGATCCGCATCTTACAGAAAGAATTGGCAAGATTTAATCATAGCTGGATGTGAGGACTCCAAAAAGGTCTAAGTGGAAGATGACAGCCAGTGTGAAAGACAGTCAGGATGGTGGTATCAACAGTAATCAAGAAAGGAAGTGGCAGGGAAAACATGCATGGCAAGTTTAAGAGCTCCATTTAGCCATGTTGAGCTAGTGCTGAATGCTAAACATCCATGAAATTGGAGCAGAGATGGATCTGTGACTTTTCAGTGTAGCACAGGTAGATGAGATTACCCAGAGAGAGAAGTAGGGGAGTGATACTATCTCTGAGTACAGCATCACCATCTACATGTTTTGTTAGTCTATATAAAGTGCTACCAGACTATTTGTTGGTTTTAAGTTTATCCTGTAGAGACTAACTCGGCTACCCCGTAAAGCTACAGTATCACCATTACTAAACTATTGTGTACAGATCCAATGTACTTCAAAAAGAATGGTGACTGGATTTTTGAAAGGGCTCGCAAAAGAACTAAAAATGATTTGTGGTCTGGAAAATGTACTTTATAGGGTGGGATTTATGAAACTCAGTTTATTTAATATATCTAAGATAAAGTTAAATTGTATTTTTTTCCACAGTATTCAAGTGCCTATCGAGGAAGAGATTTCTAATGCTAGATGTCTCTTTAGCAGAAAAAAGTGAGATTAAATAGTTGGATAATTTTAACAGTGAGGTTAATTACCCACTGGAACACTTTAGCAAAGAATGTGGTGAATTTTCCATTATTTGAAGTCTTTACATCAAGAATGGATGGAACTCTTTCTAAAGGATATTTTAAAGGGAATATAAATTATGGTCTTGATGCAGAAATTGTTGGGTGAGGTTTTTTGGCATGTGATGTGCATCAGGTTAGATCAGAGCTACTCAACACACGGCCCGTAGGCTGCATGTGGCCCATGGCCCGTTTGCGGCCTGTGGTGCAGTTTGAGTTTATGAGGGTGGGAGCCAAAACCAAAAAGTAGTCAATATAATGGTCTTTTGTTGATATGCATTTTAGTAGTTAAATTCTTGGACTGTCATTGCTCATTAAAAGTGCTGTCATATGGGTGGAAATCGGTTAAATATTGCATTTTATTAGCAGTATCAGCAGAACTGACTTAAATGGGGCCTGTGTGTTGTGTAGTCTTGCCTTAATCTTTGTATTCATGCCCATCAGTGTGAAATAAGATATCTGCATGTATATGCAACCGCATGTGAGTTGTGGCCCTTGGCATGTGCTGTGAGTATTGTGGCCCCTGGGGCTTTCAAAGTTGAGTAGCCCTGGGTTAGATTAAAATGACATGATGGTCCTTTCTGCCCTTAAAATCTGACTCCAAAACTAAAATAGAGCTCCATCAGACAATATAAGATATTACATATTATGATGAGCTCAGAAGCCACAAATCAAGCCACTCCATGAAAAAAAGGGAACCAAGTCACAATTAAATCCAAGGAATAGAAAAGAAATATTAAAATAAGCAAAAACAAAAGAGTACTTAAAATGGTGATAATTAAACTTAAGATGTGCAACCACTAAAAGAAACCAAGAAGGGACAGTTATGTGGACATGTTTTAGGAGAAGGTTTGATATCCATGATCTGTCTCAGCATTGATTTTCCATTTTGCAATCTTGAATTTTTCATTCCCTCTTCAAGGGGAAAAAAGAACATTTATTAAAACCTTCCAGAAAATATGATTCTGGAATGTTTACATAGATCAATGGTGTTAGATTAGTATCTTCTCTAGATTTTCAAATGTGTTCCAATGATTCCTTTGATTTGTCTTCTTTTCTATATAACTGGTAGGGAACATGGAAACTTATTTGGAATCTGAAAAATGCGTGTGTGTGCTTTAAAAAATTGTTTAAGTGCTTCGGGCTTTGCGGGGCATATTTTAAAAAGCTAACAGCCTCTTCTGTTGACATTAAGAGTTTCTATTTATTCTGATGTTGGAAGATCAAACTAACCTAGTGGTAACTGGATCTTATAAGAAGAGAATAGCCATCTCTAAAGTGATTAGATACTTCTGCAATAAATAGCTGTTTTGTGTGAGTGTCCTGTGAGAGAGTTGAAACACATGGTGGGAGAAGAAACAGATCTACAAGAATATTGATTCATCTGTATGCTGTGTTTTATAGAACTATAGTGTAATTAACAGCATTCTGTCTGGGATTATAAGAGGGACTGTTATCTATGAACTATGTGACAGCTGGTTTTGGAGGAAATTACTCCTTTGAGAATTGAATCAAGTCCAAGTAAACTCGGAGATGCCTTTTTTCTTTCTGAATCTCCATTTTTTAATGTTTGGTGCCATTGGTTACTTCTGGGATGAAGTGAGATTATGAAGATTATATTGGTCATCTGTCAAGATTAATAGTACTTTTAAAACTTGGCCTTCTCTGAAAGCAGATGTCCACCATAATAATCTCATACATTTCTACAAATCTTTAAATCTTGAAGGATCATGATGTGCTTTACAAATTAAACTATACATATAGGCTATTTACTATCTCATGTGAAATGTAACACTTTAGGAGGAGGAATTTATGAAATATGAATGTAATTGCTAAAAACTTTTAGTTTGGCCAAAACAGAGGGCCTAATACCATTATTGGCAGGGATTGAAAGGAGAATTACCTGGGGGGTTCTTAATCGCTAGAAGTGGCACTTCGGTTTTATCTATCACCTGACTGGGATGAGGCTGTTCTAGCCTAGTGGTCATATTGTGTCAAATTTAGTGGTTGGAGCTAGACTCATAAACCAAGGACTAGTGTCGGAGCCAGAGTCAGTAGTTTGATGCTGGAGACAAGGGTCAAGTTGAAGGTCAGAAATTAGATACCAGAGCCAACGGTCAAGCTGGAGTCAGTAGTCAGAATCTGGAGCCAGTAATTAAACTGAAGGTTAGGAACTATAATGAGCAAGGTAGCAGGCAAGAAAGAGGCAAGCCTGGGTTATAAGGCAGGAGTCAGCAGGAGCAAAGTAACAGAAAAGCAAGAACAGCAATGGGCATAAGAATTGAACAACTTGTGAGCTGTTGGCCGCTTCAGCCAGCCACATAGCGTCACTCCTCAGGTAGCCTGTGGCAGACCAGCTGTACTGACCAGCTACCTGGAAATTAGCTGTGCCGCAGGCACCGATTCCTGACATTATCTGTCTGAAAGATGGAATTTGTAACTAGTGTATTGTCTCCTAACAGTTCTCAGGACTTGGAGGTATCAAATCATAAAAACTAGGATTTTCCAGCACCTTGAACATCCTTGGTTTTTTTTTTTTTTTTTTTTTTTTTTTTAAATCAAAGTGGCTGTTTGGCACAGATTATTCATGCAATAAAAATAACATAGTAATACAAAGAAGAAATGCATACCTCAGGATAAGGTTATAATTTGATTTATTTTTGTACATCTTTTGAAAAAGATTCTTTGTAATAAAAATGTATTTTTGTCCATAACACTGTGTTTGCAGGATTTAATTTAGGTATAGTGTGGCTGGCGAGACTTGGTCCTATCTAATCTAGTCCAACAAATAATTGAGGCCTTTTGGGTAAAACACTTTGTTCCATATATTTACAGTGTTCTTTTCTGCAGTGTTTTCAGACTGTCACTTCATACCAACAATAACATGGTGCTCTCAGCTCCTGAGACAGCAGGGAGAAATCTCTTATAGCTCTGTTTACAAGCCTAGTTCTCTCTCTCTCTCTTCTCTTCATACTCCTTGTGACTTTTGTAGCATCTGGATAAATAAATTAATTAGCATTTTAACTCCATCCAGTCTGTTCCAGTCTATTATCTGAAAGCAGTTCCCATGGTCAGATGAGTTCTTGGGCAACTACCTGGAGTTGCAAGGTTCAAAGTGTTGGATCACATGCTGTTGCCCAGAGTTCTATCACAAATATTTATCAAATATTAAATATTTTATTTAAATAAATCTTAGCCGTATATGCATTCTATCTCTCATTGAATGTCATTAGAGTAATGGCAAATGACTTACCAGTTTTAATGAGTTAAAGTAGTTTCGTGGAAACAAACCATCCAGTGTCATTTAGGCCAGATAGAGCACATTCTCTCTTTATCCAATTTTAAGATTGGTATTAAGAAGTAAAAGGAAATGTGCTTTATTAGATATTTAATGTATACATACACCATAGCTGATTATTTTTATTTGGTTTTAAAATA